GAAGATTGAGTATGATTCACATTTTTCTGTTTAAAATAATTAAGATATAGTTTTTCTATCTTTATGTTATTGTTTCTTCAGTTCAGCAACAAATAATTCTTTTATATGCTTCCTTATTTACCTTTGTCACACGTTTTAATTAGAAAAAAGATACTAATGTTAAAATAGTTTGTTTACCGTGAAAGGTCAAACCCAAAATAGGGTTGCAAATGATTTTATTAATGTAAAATCAACATCAATCATTTTATATCAAAACATTTACAATCCCATTTTGTTTCCGACCTTTTACACATTGTAATAAGAGAAAGGAATGAAATCCACGGTTTCTTTAGCTTTGGGTTCATCTAATAAGTCAAGTTTTTAAATTTTAAATGCAAGTATTTCAAATTAATCACATCTCTAACTATTACCCATTTGGCATAAAATTCAGCAAACCGTCATCTATTTTAAAACCGAATCAGGAAATCAGGATGACCTAAATCAGCTATACCCTAATAATCTTCGAGAGGTGCATAATTTCTTTTTTCTTTTTAATGTTATACACCTCTTGAAGGTTGAAGGCCTAGTACTTCGCACTTTTTCCCTTATTATATGAAGAAGTTCACTCAATAATATTATGACGGATATTTTTATGAAACAAAATATATGAGTAAATTTCATTCCACACTTAATAAATTATATCGACTTCTGTAATTTTGTTGCAAGCATCATGCTACTTTACTGCAATGGCGGGGTACGTTCCTTTTTCCCTTTGGTGATAGTTTTCTTGACTTGGTAACGTCGCACACGTATTATCCATCAAAGAGCACGAGACAGAGAACTAGCTCTGTCACTCTGTAAACTATGAAATATAATTCCATTATTTGGGTAGATAGTGGGTCAATAAAAACTCATTATAAATCAATAAATACGTGAATATAATTATCATTAGTTTAATGTCCTATGTGCGGATGGTAGTAAACTAAGACAATAGTAGATTAAAAAGCAAATATTGAAAAACTAAATACTTTTTACGAATGATCCTATTTTCAATAAGGTCAAAGTACTTTACATTTTAATGACATGATCATACATTAATTACATTTTCCATAGTAGGTAGGTACACATTAAGAAAGCATTATTGTTGTGTATCTGCTTAAATCCAGATAATAATAAAAAACAAAATGAAATGAGGACTACAGTATAATATCGATATATCTCAGCAGTTTTAACCATAACATGGTGATACAAATTTCATGGAAAACCCTACCATTATTCGTACCATTCTGTATATGACCAAACCAAAATTTAAATAAATAATAATTGCAAGCAGACTGTCTTTACGAAAGAAACAGGCTACATGCTACATTAAATATTAGTTTAGTAATTTGCGAAAAAATTAATTATGAATTTGATACTTTTTTACTGGAGTCTTGTTTTGATTTTAATTTTATTTAAAAAAGCTACTACTCATTTGGTACTACTAGCGGCATCTTTGCTGAAAATTCAAGAACATCCTAGTTATAATATATATATAAAATATTGAAAATTACTCATAGGCAACCCAATGTACAGCTCTTTTAAAAAAAATCTCATACTGTAATGAGTATTTAAAACAGAAAACAGATTAC